ACAGGAGAATCAGAAGAATTTTCAAGGCAACTTTGATGATGCTGGAAGTAATCATGACCAGCCTTGACGACGACAAACATTTTTCGCAAACTAATAGAGTATGAGGCGAAATTGGAGGTTACAGTATTTTGTGCTTTTTACCGTCGATAAACAGCAATCTTACTGCCAATTTGTACCAGTCGGCGGCAATCTGCTAAAACTGGGAGACGATGTGGTGAAATGTTTGGTGCACCAGCAAAACAACATCTGCTTTTGGTAAACTTTCTCCAAAATGGCGGCCTCATGCGGGCACAGCTCTGCGAAAATACGCTTTAGCAGGTGAAAGAAAGGTCAACAGATGGGCCACGCTCCAGCCAGAAAAATTGGCCGGTTTGTGACTGTGTCGGTGAACACAAACTGGTTTTGCTAAAGTTAAAAGTAGCCGCACAATTGACATTCTTTCCTCACACTACTTATCTCGTAGCGGTTACAGTTACATTTGGCAAACCTACTCACTAGACTAATAGTAGTGAGAAGAGGTAAATTGCAATTTATGTGATTCGCTTCATATTCCAGTCAATAGCGCATGCCAGCTTTCTGTCCACTTGCCAATAAAGATGCCATCGTCTTGCTTCTTTAATGCCTGCATAGAACCTCAGTCTTGCAATCGTCTTAACAGAGTCCACATGTCCAGCTGTAAAAGATATTTGCGGAGCGGAATGTGAACTGTTGGCATGAGATCATCCATTAAGGACTCACCAACCAGGTTCATACAAGAATTATCTGACTTGTTCCACCCTATTTCTGTTTTCGCTAATACCGTTCATCAGATTACTCATTTACACGTCCACTTTGGTTGGCATCACTTGACTACAGACTCCGATGGCACAGGCAAAACCACTTTTAGAAAGGAAATGGACGAGCTCCTGACACATACGTCGTGCCTTGTCAACGGATCGCCGACTGTAAACCATGCTTTGGGAAAGCTGTTAATTAAGAGAATAAACTAAATTGACCTGTACTCTTATAAAACAAGATCTGACAATAAAGAGGTTCACTCCAGAAACATAACGCCAGACGCCATGACAAGAATGGCTCAATATGATCCTCTTTGGGCTCGGAGATGACTCCACTTCCCAAATGGATTGGAGCTACAAACGGCAAATGGGAAAGAGGCCAAATGTCAAGCCGACTGTCACGATTCCCTTCGGAGGTGCGAGCAAACGGGCATGCAGTTGGGCCAGAGCTACTCTCCTCTTTGGCTTCGGAAAAAGGGTACAGCTCGAGTTCGAAATTTCGCGAACTCTATTCCAGCCTCAGAATAAAGACAACCACTTTCTATTCAACTTAATCGGTTTGACATGTTTCGAGGCTGTCAGACTTGCCATCCAGTCCGAGAGACACATGATACTCGTTTCCATGTCATCCATCCCTCAGCATGGCCAAGCAGTTGCACGTGATCGAAAGACAAGTCTTCCCACTCAAGAGTTGGCCTGATCACGGTCGGCTTTGCCTCAAAACTCGTCATTAATCTGCAAATGGTCGACTTTACGGACATTTATTTTGTTGCGTGGACTGGACCATCCAGTCCGACCTGGTTGCGAACCCGCATGAAGGGAAGTGGTCAAAAGTCAATTCAGTCGGGATGCAAAAATAAGTTCAATCACGCCCTTTCGTGAGAATTCCTTTGACAATTCTATTCGTTTCTTTCTGACCAAACAGACTATTTTTCACATCTTCTTGTTCCTTGCTTTGTATGTTTTTTTCTTTATAAACCCTCGAGTGCAGATTTCAATCGATCAAATATAATAAAAATGTTAATTTGATGGCCATTCCAACTGCATGTATAGAAATGTATTTATATTTATACGTAATATTTCATTAGGACAATTTTTGCTCGAAGAGTTCACCCTTTTCTTTGAAACCTACTCAAAATAAGACGCTTTGGTAACACAACTAGACACGGTTAACAATTCTCCTCCCTCCATCTTGTTATCAAATAAGTCTCTCTTGACGACTCAAAATCCGTCAAATATTTCATTTCGACATGTGCCAAGCACACTATCCTCAAGGCTACCTCTGGCAGAGTATTGCATGCAAATCTGAATTAATTATATTTTATAAAAGTCACATTTCAGACTCGATATAATTCGTGTGCAATTTCAGCGAGCTTGAGCAGCTCAGCTGCCACGCTCGAATGTGTCCCTCCCATTCAACTCTACCATCAACGAGAAATAACTTTGCCACTTTTCGCTTCGACTCACCCCCGAACCACATGCTTCCGAGGGGGCAATGCGGCGTGGGAAGCGAGAGGTGAGCACGATCCGTTGGGGAAGAATAGCTTGTCTTGCAGATGGTACTTGAGCAAATCGTTGGTTGGCCAAATTAGGTCTTGACTCAGGCAAACCCAAAGGGACGGGTCACAACTGATATCTCCGGCTTCTGTATCACAGCAAAGGCAAGAATACACAAGCACACAAAAGAACACACTTTTGCTCTCAACTGTGATCAGCTCGACTGAACTAGTGTCCTGCCATGCGTAGTCGTAGCCACGAGTCGCCTTGGCTACACAATCAAAGATGGTTCTGGCTTCTGATTTGTCGCGACTATGTTTTCGCTTTCGTGTATCCGCACACACACACACAGACACATATACATCTGCTTCAACATAGCGAATTATCGTAACCAAGTGACCTAATCTCGGTTGTTTCATGAGATTATATCGCAACGAAGCAGTTGCCGGAAAAGGTGACTTGACTTTTTATTTGGAAGCAAAAGTTGGTTGAAAGAAACTCGTGGATTGTTCGCAAAAGGAGGATTGTCTCGAAGGCGTGAAGACTGTCGAATTGTAGCAAGACGTCCTCGGCTCGTCCTCCTGCGAGCTCGACAACCCCGGATTGGCCTATCGTCGGTGCTGTCCTGTCCTGTCCTGACGGAGCTCGTCGGACGAGGAAGGTATGCTTTGGGAAGAGGTTCATCGATACCCCAAACCAACCTACTCATTTCTTAGACCTCATTTTACGATCGAAAGGAAGCATGCCATCATGTCTTGTATGCACTCACTCTTCAAGCCATCCTACAGACAACTTTCCCATTCACGCTTGTTTAGAAAGCTACCATCAGATGAATTCACCCTATTTCGTCCAAGGTGATGAAGTACAATTTTCCCACAATGATATGAGTTAAGCTCCCATCCTGCATTGTCGCGGTCCGACTCCCGCTGAGGGTGTTGATAAGACCGATGCGAGGTCGAAACTGCAATCCACTTCAGCCTGGATGAGAACAACTTTTGGGAAAGCAAGAGCATGTGAAAATTCAATGGAAACGTCAGCTCTACTCATAGCATTGTGGGAAAATTCTTCTTCTACCAGCCGTTCGTCACCTTAAACGAAATTGGGTGAATACATCTCATACTACTGATTTACTGGTAGTCTCGAAACTCTACTCCAATACGAAAATAGAAAGCCACTCTTCCAAATGCAGTCTTGCTTCACACCAGACACTCACCAGCCACATGAAACAATCTTTTACAGATTTGGCCAAAAGTTGTGTGCTCATCAACATAAATGTATTAGAAATGGCAACTTTGTCGGCCTCAGTCATGTAATGGTCAGTTGATGACTGACAGTTGACGATTTCCCATTTGTATTGATACTAACTGAAGCACGTATGAAATGTATTCACCCAATTTCGTTTGAAGCTGATTGTGGGGCTGATAGTTGAATGTTCCCACAATCGCATGAGTCGACCTCACGTTTCCACTGGATTCCTAATTGCCTTATTTTTTCCAAAATGTATTCTCAGCCAGACTGAACAGCAGTTTCGACCTCTCCCAGCGGGACTCGAACCGCCACCATTCAGCGTATCATCTCGATACGTCAACCACTACGCCACATTGCCACTATTGCTCTCAGCTAACAGGACAGATATGACTTTCAAGGGGGGCCAGGGATTTTCCCATCTTGCATTCCACGATTCACACCTACTCGCTTTATATGCAGACCAGCCTTCTTGTAGACAGCGTAAGCATGAAAGTCATATTGGAGTCATATGTTTGCACAACAACAGTTGACTTCCGATGAGATCTCCCAGCCTCTTTCCTCCTCTTGCACTTTTACTCGAAATAAAAATCTTCCCAACATTGTTGTCTCAAGAGATTCTTCTA